ACCACAACAATGGACATAAGGGGCTTCAAAGAAATAACTCAGGTAGATGTTATTTTATATATTATGCTTTGTATGTTGTTCAGTATATTTCTATGCAAAACAAGAGGAATTTCAATACACAGCAGTATATTCACAGTTGAAACCAGATATTTACACTTTAGGGGAAAAAAAAACATAAAACATTTTTTTTACTGTTGAACATCAATTTAGTAAATGTTTTTTGTTTTAGATAAATAAATATTGAAATATTTTTTGAATTAGTTAAATGTCAGAGTGTGATGGCATGCCACACATGGTAAGCTCCACACCTCACCACCCGTTGATTCACTTTAGTTTAATTTACAGTCACTACTTTAAAATATTCTACTTATTGTTCAATATTGTTTCTTTATTAAATGTATTTATTTTTCCATCACACCTTCCAATGTTTATATGGCGTGCACACATATTAACCTTGCAAGGTCAAAGTTCTGTTTTATGTTATATTAATACATCTTTGTTTGAGTTTTTTAGTCTATTGGTTTTGAACCTGATGGATCTGAACCTTTTTCCAGAGGGCAGGATGTTCAGGGTGTATGATCTCGACTGATTGTGAACGGTCTGTGAGAAAGTTTTTGGAAGTCCAAGTTTACCAGCTTGGCTATAAGGATGTCTGGGATGATGGTATTGAAGGCCAAGCTGAAGTTAAGGAAGAGCATCCTTACTGATGTCCCAGAAAACATAGGCAAACAGGGTCAAACTGCTTTAATTTAATCTAATGTGCTGATTTTATTGTTTTAATTGAATTTTGATTATCATCATTATTATTATTATTATTTTATTTTAAATTTAATGTAAAGGGTTTTTTATGTCAAGTGTACAGCACCTTGTTTTCAGCTGGGAGTTGTCTGAAAGTGCTATATGAATAAATCGATTGCTTCCTAAATAAAGCTCGAGCCAAAAAGCGAGTGCTGTCAGGGCACACAGTGACATATCGTAAGGTCATAAGGGAGCGGCGGTCAGAGTTTTACCCCTGATACTGCTGGATAAACAGAAGCTCACCCAGGAACGACAACCCACTTCAACTTGCTTTCCCTCTGCAGGTTGTTTTTATTGGTTACACACATGAATATTCATAAAGCTTGTTGCTGACTCATAATATTCATGTGTGTAACCAATAAAAACAACCTGCAGAGGGAAAGCAAGTTGAAGTGGGTTGGAGACAACTGCTTCCGTCTCATGAGTGAAAATTTGAGCTCTGTGTGACCTCGTTTCTGGGTGAGCTTCTGTTTATCCAGCAGTATCAGGGGTAAAACTTTGACCGTCGCTCCCTTATGACCTTATGATATGTCACTGTGTGCCGTGACAGCACAA